TAATTTGTGCAATGTATAATGTGCAATTACTATTTCATACACTATGCAATAACCTGTTTCGCTATATTTGACACCCAGTCAAATATAGTAAGCATAGTAAGGAGTAAATTTCTCCTCTGTGAGATCAATAAAGTCAATGAATCAATAATTAATGACGAAAAAAATCTCAATCGTCATATTTATCGATTTAAGAACATGAGCCAGATCAGATATCCATATATGAATCCGCACTAAAAAAACCTTTGTAAAACACACATAAATGAATCAGGGCAAGTACACAAAGTTATGTATTGGTTCCAATTCACACAACTATATCTATAGAAATATCTATAATCCACTCACGCCTATTATTCTCCATGAATCTATTATTGTACATTAACTGTAAAAAAGCATATATTACATCTCCAACCAATTTTAGATTGTAATTTTTTTTTTCCAGATTTAATTTTCTTAATTTTCAAATTTATTTATTTTTTCATCTCTTTTTCAGAGTTTTGCAAATTCCATTCTTTTCACTTCAAGCCCAATACAAACGTTTGCTCTTGACCAATGAAAATATTATTTCTACCAACCACAGACCTACATAAACAAATCTTTGCTCCTGATAATTTGAAAAGAATGCAGTTTATCAAAGTTAATCTAAATTTGAAAAAGTAAAAATAAAAAAATATATATATTATATAATATAATTTTGAAATTTTGCTGAAAAAATGTTGGAATATGATAGTTCTTTAGATAGAAAGGAAACTTTTAAATCTTGCTAAGCAGCAAAGTTTCTTTCAAAACTTCTCTTTGATAAAGATGTTTTTAAAAGTTTCATTTCTCGACTCAATTTTTTCTTTATTTCCATTTCCAAAATGTGCTTTTTATTCCAAATTTTCTTTCCAAATCTTTTTTTTTTTAAGTTTTTTCATTAGCAAATGTGTCTTTGCTTGCAACACACTGCAAAAAAGTAGTCATTTTTTTCATAAAATAAGTGCATTTTATCCTGAATTGAGGAGGTAAATGAGACACTTTGCCAATGGAACAAGACAAGTTACATTTGAAATAAGAAAAATCAATTGCATTGTCTTATTTCAAGTGCATATTATCTAATTGACTTATTCTAAGTGTAAAAATACTCAATCCATTGGCAAACTATCTTATTTACCTGCTCAAATTAAGGGTAAATACACTTGATTTAAGACATTTTTACTTAATTTTAGATCGTATATTTAGTGCAACAATAATGGCTCAAGATTGACCCCATAAAGAATGGAAGACCGTTACGTTAGACCGTAATTCCCCGGCTTCAGCCTTGTACATTATCCACTAGCTCTTAGCAGCGAAGCTGAAAGGATGAAGTTCGTTCCAGTTGCTGCACGATTCCCAGCACCCGTCGCACCAGCTGTGAGTGATCACTTGCCATTTTTCCACAGGCATTAATCTGTGTGGGAGAAGATGGCAGACACTGATCAGTTTAGCTTCAGCACACTGCAGCGATGTCTAATGAAAGGATTTCTCATTAGCACTGATTCCTTACGCTCCGCTGCCTTGGCCTGCCGGGCTGAGCCACCCAGCAGCAACATGTCAGGACGGGTCCTTCTCCAGCAAACCGTCAATATAAATGGATTTTACAAGATTTTTTAAAGAGTCAAACTAAAGGAGATGTAAAAAATATCTAGAAAATATGTATGGATTCTATAGAATAGCTTTTATTGGAAAACTTGTTTGTTTTTCTACCATGAACTTACATTATAACCAAGAATCTTTTTGTTTTCTTGCATGTTTTCCCCAAAGCTAAGTAGATACCAAAGACAGATGCACCGCTGTCGCTTGAAAAGAGATAGCTGAGAGGGTTTTGGTGTTTAAAGTTGTTGACAACATTTCTCACTCAGAGAAAACATGTCGACTCCAGGAAATGACAGCAATACGGGGAGTTGCTTGGAGGTCATGTTCTCTTTTTCAATCGAGCAAGCCAGTTTCTAAGGCATCAATTCTTTGTGCTAAAGCAGATTAAGTATGCCCTCCACCAAAGTGAAATGATTTCATATTGACTGCACATGGGGCACCTTCTATGAACATCTACAGATGGTGTTTAGGATTGGCCTTTTTCTAAGTCCAATTCATTATAAAATATTTCCCTCTCAATTTTCTTTCCTGTATTAATAACTAAATACATTATTCCAAGCTAAAAATAATTAGCTTAGTCAAAAATATTCTATTTTCCATCAAATAGAACTGTTGCACAAACAACCTTTTTCTTCTTGTAGGACTAAAGTTAAAGGTGCCTTCAGATGTGAGGTAATTAGAGCCATAGATGAACTGAACTCTAGATTAATCTAACCATCCCTCTAACCAACACCTTTTCTTTGAATTTGTGTTAAAAAAAAAAAAAAGAAACTATTATATTAATTTAAAAGCGGGAGTTCTTCACCTGCATTTTTTTAACCCTTGAAAAGGATGAAAACCAGTTTTAAAATAAGTGATTCAGTAGATAGAATAGAATAAAAAATGCCTTCTTTGTCCCACAATGGGGAAATTGTTGTGTTACAGCAGCAAAGGTGGTAACACAAATGCGGACATTAAGTGTATAAAAATAAGATATCCTGTTTTAGTACTTTCTGAATAACAATCTGGCCTTCGAGGGTCACTCTCTGGCATCACACCCTCTCTCTCTCAAAGCCTTAAAAAGACGATCATGACGAGGTCGCAATAGAAAGCAAGGCTGAACATTTTCCATCAACAGTGACCATGAAGGGTTTACTTGGAGTCTGGTTTATTTGTGGATGTGTCAGTTCACAGATCTATCCATCCATCAATTTATCCATCCATCCATTTTTTGATTCATCTATCAATCCCTTCATTCATCCATTCATCCATAAATGTATCCATCCATCCATCAATTTATCCATCCATCCATCCGTTTATTAATTCATCTATGCATCCACATATCCATCCCTTCATCAATCCATTCATCCATAAATGTATCATCCATCCTTTCATCCATCCATCCCTTCATCCATAAAGTTATCCATCCATCCATCTATTTATCCATTCATCTGTTCATCTATCCATTTATCCATCCCTTCATCCATCCATTCATCTGTAAATGTATCATCCATCCTTTCATCCATCCATCCCTTCATCCATAAAGTTATCCATTCATCCATCCATTTATTTATTCATCTGTTCATCCATCCATTTATCCATCCCTTCATCCATAAAGTTATCCATCCATCCATGCATTTATCCATTCATCTGTTCATCCATCAATTTATCCATCCATGCATCCATGTATCCATCCATCCATCCATTCATCCGTTTATCCATCCATCCATCCATCCATCCATCCATCCATTTATCCCTCTCTCCATCAATCCATCATATATCCATTTATCCCTCCCTCTCCATCCATCATCCACCCATCCATCTATTCATCTATTCCATCAGCCATCCCTTTATCCATTCATCCATATCTATCCATTTTCCATCAATCATTCATCCATCCATCCATCCATCCATCCATCCATCTATTCATCTATTCCATCAGCCATCCCTTTATCCATTCATCCATATCTATCCATTTTCCATCAATCATCCATCCATCCATCCATCCATCCATCCATCCATCCATCCATCTCTCCATTAATCCATCATACATCCATTTATCCCTCCCTCTCTATCCATTTGTCCATCCATCATCTATCCATCTATCTATTCATCTCATCAGCCATCCCTTCATCCATTCATCCATATCTATCCATTTTTCCATCAATCATCCATCCATCCATCCATCCATCCATCCATCCTTCCATCCATCCTTCCACTTCTCCTTATCTAAGTTCAGGGGTGTTCTGTGTTTTCTCCCTGGAAAATGTTTCCAGAAAACCAGGAAAAATAAGAGGAGGCATCTTTTTCAGGGGCCCCTACAGCCTGTAAATTGTTATAATGGACAGTTGCCTATTAAATGTTTCCTTTTCCATGTGTGTTTGTTCCTGAAGCTGAGCTTTAAAGGGATTTCTCACCTCATATTCCATCCAAAATACAATCATTCCACAGGCTGGATGAGAGGATGGGACCTAGAGGATGATAATCTTAAGTGTTCCCTCTCAAACCCAAACATGCTAATAGAAAAATAAACAGTTTCCCATAAATGTGCATAATTACCCACTAACAATTACATAGTTTTAAAGTTAAATGAGTCTTTGGTCAGTTTTTCCTATCAAAAGCAGTGGATACCTCCAATAAGACTCAAGGTTTTACTATAATACAAATCTAAAAGCTCTCCTGACGGTTGATGACAAGGTAAAGACAAAAGTGTACAACTCAGAAAAGAAATCCCACCTTTTTAGGTATTCAAGTGAAGTACTTCATATTTTTGTATCTGTAGACGGCCTGAAGTGCTGCATTCTTTAACGCCCAGATGTGTACTTTAGAAAAATATTTCTCTCAGTTTAATGTTATACGTCTGGAAGCCTTTGGGTCTGTTTTATTGTGAAGGGCTGTAAATACGACACCAGCTGCTGTGTGACTGCATTGTATCACTATGAAGCAGAAACAGAGGCTTGATATTCTTTCTGAGTTATGTTGAGCTTCATACTTTAAAAAATGTAAGTTCTCTTCATTTCTTGACTTGAGTATAAACTCAAAGCTTCAGATGAATGGACAGAAGAGGAGCTTAGCCATTCAGTGACTATATAAAGAGATTTTAGATTTTTTTCCTGCACCCTTTTGTATAAATCCAGTCAAAGTTAAGGCCTCCTCCTCTATTCACATCACAACGGCTTTAAAAAGATGATTTAAAGAAAGATTTGACTTTATTATTGCAAAAGACCAGAACTTTGTGGTCTAACTCGCAACATGAGTTATGAGGGACGTAGAAGCACAACTTCATAACCTTAAGATAGAAGTATTTTTATCAAAAAATACCTTGTGAGTTTCTTCCTCTCCCACCTAAAATACTTCAATAGATAAAATCTAAAGAAAATAAATCCGGCCCTCTGTGTTTTTCTGATCAGACTGTGAAGGCAACGTCTCCGCTCGGCGATCCGAGGGTGACCTACAATCTGGAGGAAGGCCTGGTGCCAGAGACCAACATGCCGGTACGGTTCTACATCAAACCGAACAGGGCGGACGGTTCGGCATCGATCCTGGTCGCCGAGAACCTGGATTACGAGATGACGCACTTCTTCACGCTGAGAGTGCGTGTGCAAAACGTTGCCGCCGTGCCTCTGGCTTCCTTCACCACCGTATACGTCAATGTAACAGGTGAGTTTTTTTTAGGAGATATTTTCCCTCTTTTGCCTAAACATGCCTTTGACAAAAATATTCTAAATCCAAAGTGGATTCAAGCTAATAGAACTTTGCAACAACAAAGCAAGTAAAGCTCATAAGTTTAAAATTATGAATCTTTAAGTGTTTATTACCAACTTCCTTAAATGTTTGCCAACTTCCTTTAATAAAGGAGTGAAAAAGAAGATGAAAACAAAACCATCGATCAAATGTTAAGTTTTTGCAGAAATCTTTTTAACATAGGTGCAGGATACTCTAGTGTTGCACTGATGCCATTTTTTGGCCCCGATACTGATACCTGGCTGTGCAGAATTGACTGATACCAATACTATCTGTTATAAATTGATGTGTGTGTATATATGAAGATCTGCATACTGCTTGGATGTAAAATAATTCCCATCATGGATTTGTCAAGCTACTGCCTACATTTGTGAAGCAGGAAAAAGACTAATACAAAGTGAATCCAGTAGAACTTTTAGTTTTGAGAGCCTAAAGTTTATTCAACTTTGGGCTCTCAAAATGGTATCGGTGCCCTATTTGTTGGTACTCGCCGGTACCGATTATCCTCGTGAGACCATCCTGATCTCGCGAGCTTTCAAGGTTTCACTCGCAGATCAGTCTGGAGACTCTCCGTTGAAGAAAATTTGGAGCCGTTCACCAAACGAACGTCCAATCAGCATTGGCTTTGAGGCGGGTTGAGGTGTGACGCAACGAGCAGCGCGACCGTTCAGTCTAAAGAACATGGCAGCTTCAGCCGATGAAACTAGCGTTAGCGTGGCTATCGAGCAAGTGTTATCGGAATTACAGAGTATTTCTTCACTGAAAGAAGAGCAAAACACTGCTCTGGAGGCTTTTCTCAGAGGAAAAGATGTTTTTGCTCTTCTCCCGACTGGTTTCGGCAAGAGTAGCCTGGCTTGTGGTTGTGTTTTTGTCGTCGCTCTGTTAGTACGTCATATGCTTCGTTGATCTGATTGGTTTATTTGGCCCGTCTATCACCAACATAGGCCAATCAGCTAACCAGTATTTTCGCTCCTTCCCAAAATTACTTCAACGGAAGGTTTCCAGATGGATATGCGGAGCAAATTCATCTGGCGGAGTCAGGTTAGGTACAGATACCACCATTTTAGTGCAGCATCAGGGGCCCCGTCCAATACTGGTATTGGTGCAACAATAGAATAATCCTCGATCGATGGGTCTTTTTTTGTCTTCTTCCTCATGTTTAAAAGCGTTCGACAAACTACTCTAAGTGCATTAGCACAACCAACTGGTAAGGAGTGTAAGAGCTTTATGGTGGTAGATTCGTACTCATAAATGTTTGATTTTTACTTGAAAATTTGTGATTTCTACTTATCATGTTGCAAAGTTTTAACATAGTAGATTATATTCTCACAGATGAATTATCTGATGTCACATGGACATATGAGTTGACAACAGTTAAAGCACACATTTTTATTGAGTTATCTCACTTCATGGAGAAACACAAGGTGATTGATTTAACAGAAATAGGTGTGGATAGAAGTCCCTCTTTTGGTGGATCTTCTGTTTTAAATCCAGAACCCCCAGCTTTCTTATTAACAGCAGTTTTGACCAAATAATACATTGCATTGCATGTAAAAAGTCACCGTTTATTTGTGACGAGCATAAACCATCAGTAGGAGCAGCTCGGGCATAATGAGAGACAGTCCTGGAAAACAACGAGGACTGAGAGTAATGAGGTTCCCCGGACGTTTCTGGCAGACAAAGAAAAGAGGAAAAAACATCAATGTCTGACGGTGCGAGCTCCACGCGGCCTCATTTCAAAAGTGACTCATTTCTCAATCAGCATCCGTGGGTGGGTGGAGGGAAGAAAAGAGGAGAAAACACTTCCTGACTTTGATTGGCTTTGAACAAACCCACTCTGGATGCTCTAATTGGCTTAGCGGAGCTTGAAAGTGAGCTGACAAGCTTCTTTGTGGACACTTCAGGGTGTTAGGAGGATAATTCCTCGCTAATAACTCAATTTCATTTGCAAGAAGAGACACGGTCCAGCTTCCTTTTCTGATGGACTTCAGAGCAAAGTCTTCTCTGTTTTCCTTTTTTCTCTGTTCTTCATCCCAACTATTTAATCTTCTTTGCTTGATTAAGTTGTTGCAAAAAACCAAAAAGTTTTTTTTTTTCCCCCTCTTTGTTGTCTGGTTTTAAAGCCAACTTAATCAACTTTTGTAGACAGGAGTTGGAGCGCTGACAAAAATAAAAATAATTTTATTAAGGAAAATTAGGGATAATAAATGTCTCTTTTGTTTTCATTTTATTTCTTTTCTCAGACGTCAACGACAATGTTCCTTTCTTCCTTTCATCCACGTACGAGGCCACGGTTCCTGAAGGAGCACATATTGGCACGTCGGTCGCTCAGGTGTCGGCCACTGACCTCGATTCGGGTCTGCATGGCATGGTAACATGATTCTTTCGATCCAATGTTTATGTCTCTCTTTATTCCTCTTATTTCCTTAATCTTTCCTATGCCTCTTCTCAGATCCACTACACCATCTTGAAGGATGAGAGCGGAGACTCTCAGTACTTTAGCATCGACCCCGTCAGCGGCGTCCTAGTAACTCGTGCTTCTTTTGATCGCGAACAAAAAGCGTCCTACCTGATCGAGGTGCAGTCACAGGATGGCTCAGAGTCCGCCCGACCGAGCCAGCAAGGCCAGCCGAACACAGGTACCCCACCACCCCCCCACCCATCCACAGACATAAAACCATTCTGAGCTCCACACATAATTTTCTTCACTATGGAGAGACATTAGTAAATAACTAAATAAATACTGAATGAAATGTATCCTTTAATTACAAAAAATGATCTAATAAAATAAAATAAAATTAATAAAAACTAATAAAATTTTTTGCTAATGCCAATTATTTAGCCAGTTTTGTTGTTTTTTTATTTAGAGATATATCATTTTTTGCAATTTATTAATTTTATTTCAAAACGAACTTATTTCGTTTATTTATGAATATATTTATTTGCTAATTAATTCACTAATTGTGTAACACTTTTATTTTGAAAAGCCATTTTAAATATCATAAGGACTTTTATTTTTTATTTTGTTTTATTTCTGTGTCTTTTATTTCTTAATTGGCATCAAAGTTTAATTAATTTGGGACTTTTAATTATCTATTGGAACAATTCTTTTGATCAGGGTGCGCTAATAATAAAAATACACTTTACTTGCTTTTAAAACAAAAGAAAATGGTTTAAAAGTTTTAAATTTCTTATGAGTTTTCTTGAATCCCTAAAAGATCAATGAAATATGATCTAAAGTATTTACATAAATTCCCACTTATATTAGTTATTTTTTGTGCCTTAGCGAGTTGATGAGACACTTGATGTAATCAATAAACCTCTGGCAGGATTCTGGCTCCATATAAAGAGACAGCAGAACTAATTTTAACAGGTTGTTTTTCAGGCATAGACCCACATTTAAATCGCAATTCATAACATTTCTAAAAGTTTTTAGGATATTAAAAAGATAATTTCGGTCAAAAACCAGGTGTATTTTGCTCATGTTATAAATAAGATGAAGTTGAAAAATTAAAATGTACAAAAAAACCCAAGCATGGTGCTGCCTTCACCATGTTTTGCACTTGTTGCAGTAGCGTTCTCCAGTTTGAAAGACTCCCCTTTACTCCAGTTTAGTTTGTTGTTGACGCCAAGCTGCTCAAACTTCATCAGTTTTGATAAAGTATGTCTTTTCTTCAGAAGGCATTTTGCTTTCCATGTTTGCAGCTGCAGATTTCATACCTTCCTCACACTTATTATAAAACAAGAAGCATAGCTTAGGGGCCATTGGAAGGCATATATTTTCCCATTAATTCACTTCAGAAAAAGTAAAAATCTGACTGTTACTGTGGATAGACACATTTTCTAAATGTTTTAGGGTCAAAATATTGCCGAATAATTATTTTCAGAAACTCAAAGTTTTCATTTCAAGTTTAAATTTTTAACAGCTTTCGCTCAAAGTTTCTCTACAGATCGGTGTAGTTTGATTACGTTCACACTCCTCACAGCATAGGGGATACCAACCTTTTATGTTCTCATGTGAAAAACTGTGATTTAAGACTGAGTCGTCCTAAATAAGATTTCCTCATCGTTTTGTGGGAATTGTAGACATTTTTCTGATAGATGCGGCATCATTCAGAGCTGATCTGATGTGACATAGAGCGTCTGTTGTGTCTTCCTTCAGACACCGCCTATGTCAGGATCTTTGTCACCGATGTCAACGACAACGCGCCGGCTTTCGCCCTGCCGGTGTACGAAGTCAGTGTGGAGGAAGACAAAGAGGTGGGCTTCGTCCTCATCACCGTCACCGCCAACGATGAGGATGAAGGTCAGTCAGGATCTGGCTCTGGGTATTTTTTCTGTCTCTCTGACCGCGAAGTTATTAACCTCACTGCTTTCTGCTTTGTTTTCTACCATTTTTTATTTTTATTTTTTTTCATTTTTGCTTATCTAGTCTTTTCTGCTCCACGTCATGGCTAAAGCATTTTCTTTAAAACAACAAATTTTTCAGAAATATTTATTACACAGTACATCTTGATTGCTGCAGAATAAAGTTAGAATTAGTTAGAGTATTTACTTCTGGTTAAGATGCCAACTTCAGTATGAAAGGATTCTGCACCAATAGATTAGAAAGTTGAAGTCAAATGTGGCGGAGCTCTAAGGTTATCTTATCTTAGTAACTGTGACAAAACTTCTTCTCTGTTTTACCTTTTTTTTTTATTTAAGCCAAAAAAATAAAGAAACAAGGGTTGACTTAGTCAAACATTTTAGCTTTTTTTGCTAGTACAGAAAGCAAAAAGACTTAGATGTGACACAGAGATTTGCTCTTTCCTTCTGAAAAGGCAGGTTTAGTATTTTGCTAAACTGCCTGATATGAGCCGGAAGCAGGATTCGTACCATCAGCTCATTTGCATCTTGTCAATGCAGACACAAAAGCTGAAGGTGATTACTTGCAGATTTTAATAACAAAAAGGGGAACAGAAGCAAAAATCCAAAATCATAAATCCACAAAATCCAAAAGTACTGAAAACCAGGAATAGTCACAACAAGCGGGCAAAGAAATGACCTACCAGCAAAGAGTGACTAAATAGCAGGAGAATATATGGGAGAGAGAAACAAAGACCAGACTAATTAGCAGATTGGGAGCAGGTGTGAACAAAGGAGGCAAGAAGGGAGCCTGGGAAAAGGAGACTGACACAAGAGGGAAAACAAGAAATATGTAAGAACTCATATAGAATATAAAATAATGAGAACACAAAATGGAAATAAGACAGATCAAAACTCAGAGATAAAACTTAAACAAAACCATGACACGTCTGTGCCACCAGGAATCCCTCCAGGTCAGCATTGCATAATGTATTCATGGTACCAAAAGTACTTATTTCTGTCCTTAAAGCATGCTATACTATAAAAATGAATAACGACTATGATGATGCGGATGCGTTCACATTCTTTCTGGTAAACTGCTTGTCTGACTTTATCAGAGCTATCAGCATAGAATACAATAAAACAGAATAGAATAGAATAGAAAATCCCTTTATTGTCCCACAATGGGGACATATTGGTGTTTATAGCAGCAAAGCTTATAGTAGAAGTGTTCCCACAATGTGGACCGTAGAAAAGTGTATAAAAAATAACAGAGTTTTGAACTGTACAGTGTTTTGCAATATAATACTCTGTATCTGGAGAATGAATATCAATAACAGCTGTGGATATTTTTACAGTAATGGATATGAGAAAAATAGCAGCAACACCAGAGATGTGCAAAAAAAATGAAATGACAGCAGCATGATATTTAAAGCAGCATGCTCTATATAAAATACAGGTACAATTGAATGCAAACATAAAACCCAAAATTACGACAATTATTCACAAATCAGAAGACAAAACAATGCGCTAGCAGTAGTAGGGCAGAGATCGCACTTCCAGGACTGATCAGGTTTGGATGAATGAGATGACAGAGGATGTAAACACATTTATTCTCTCAGCAAAGTTTTTATTAACGTTTTACACGCTGTAATTTAGACACCATTTTAAAAGTAAAGATAGAAATAAATGAATAAATAAACAAGTGGGCAGGAGGACTTGTACTTGTAGCTCTTACCTTAAATGTTTTAATTTATATATTTTCTTCTTTCGTTCGATTTTAACTAACTTTATTTTTGTATTAACACATTTTAGGGTTATTTAAAGGAGTTACCTTTAAATTTCTGGTCTTCAGCTTGAGCCTTGGCCAGAAGGAAAGCTGTAGATGTGTTTTGTTCCTTGAACCTTTCAACCCATAGAAAGGATCCCTGGTCCCACTGATCTTTTCCTAACCTGACTCCGACAGATGGATTTGCTCCGCATATCCATCTGGAAACCTTCCGTTGAAGTAATTTTGGGAAGGGGCGAAAATACTGGTTAGCTGATTGGCCTATGTTGGTGATAGATGGGCCAAATAAACCAATCAGATCAACGAAGCATATGACGTACTAACAGAGCGACGACGAAGAGGAGCCAATTGATAGATCAAACTCTTGCCGAAACTGTCATGTTGGGGTCTAAGCGTCTAACCCACATGCAGAAACACTCTTCAGACAGCGAAAAAGTTAAATGGTTTATTTACAAAGTTACAGAGAAATGTGAACTGGATCTTGGCTCGGCAGACTGGTCACGGAAGGGAAGCACTAGAGAAGGACAGATCTGTTAGAGTGGATCCAGGAAACTTGCAGTTTAACGATGACTTAGATTAATACCTGCTCGGAGGTTATTCTGATCTGCAGGGGGGGGACCTTGTGGGTCCAGAGGCTGGTCGGCAGGCTGAGGGCAGAGACAGAGGCTGAGGCGGAGGACAGACAGGCAGGCTCCGGGAAGCGATTGCTTTCTCCAGGTTTGGGCAGATATCCAGATAAGTCAGGATCTGAGAGGCAGAAGAACACAGGGTCAGACTTGTTCACAAAAAATCAGATAACAGATCAGATAAGCTGGCTCAGGTTTTGCTGGTACCATTACTGGCAAACACTCTGGCAGGGAAGTGTCAGCCTCCTGCTCCTTAAGTAGGCCTCCTGATCAGCAGATGGGAAACAGCTGTGTAGAAGTCAGCTCATGCCCTCAGGAGGAAGATCTCAGGCGCCCTCTGGTGGAGAAAGTTAGACAAGCCTCCAGATCCCAACAGAAACCAGTCGGGAGAAGAGCAAAAACATCTTTTCCTCTGAGAAAAGCCTCCAGAGCAGTGTTTTGCTCTTCTTTCAGTGAAGAAATACTCTGTAATTCCGATAAAACTTGCTCGATAGCCACGCTAACGCTAGTTTCATCGGCTGAAGCCGCCATGTTCTTTAGACTGAACTGTCGCGCTTCTCGTTGCGTCACACCTCAACCCGCCTCGAAGGCCAACGCTGATTGGACGTTCGTTTGGTGAACGGCTCCAAATTTTCTTTAACGGAGAGTAGCAGACTGATTAGCGAGTGAAACCTTGAAAGCTCGCGAGATCAGGATGGTCTCACGAGGCTAATCTTTTCCTGCAGGAGTAACACCAAACAGCTATAGTAGCCCAGTTTTATGAAGCCTTTTCCTCCCCTCTCCCATTACAGGCCTTTACTGGCTCTCTGCTGAAAATAAACTCCTCTGCAGCTGGGGAAATGTCAGAGCTCTTGACTCAGTAAAGAAATCTAAACACAGACAATTGTTGTGAAAGAAAGTGACTTATGCTTAAACAGCATTACTTATGATTGCAATAAAATGTCCCCTGTATGTATGATGTGTTGCTGTAGGAGGCAGAAGTGAAACCCAAATATCTGACGGCAATAAATCCTCCATATTTCTGCTGTATTGTAACACAGCTGACTTAATAAGAGGATAGTTTTAGTGGGTGTCCAGCTTTAAATATGGTAGCTTGGCTTTGGGAGAGTGATGTATGACTGGAATCCTTCTGGTCAATAACAGCATGATGCATTAGCTGTTTTCTCCCTTTAATCGTTAAATTTGCATGTTTTATATTAAATGTGTGTGCATATAACTGAACTATCTTGGTGCATTGAATTAGCTGAAAAAACATCTGCACTCCTGAATCTTGTGTTTGTTTGTTTTTTTCTTTCTCCCCTTTCTTCTCCTCCTCTGCATCCTCGCTCCCTTTCCTTGTTTTCTTCTCCGTTCCTCCTCGGTTCGTTTCCTCCGTCTTCTTCTCTAGCTGTCGCAGCTCGTTAGCGAGTGCTGCTGCTCCCTTGAGGTCGACAGTTTTGATGTTTGTCTCTTTGTTTATGTTTGTCCCTCGCTCCTCTTCCTCCCCCGCTCTAACCAATAAGCTGCAGGAGGAAAAAAGGACAAAAATATCAGAAAACAAAAACAGCCTCTCTTTCTCCTCCTCTTTTTAACATTCTTTTTCTTTTCTTGTTGGTTTTCAGCCTCCGAGATTAACTTTACCCTGACTGCCAGAGGAGAAAACTAGGAAACATTGCGTTGCTCTGTTTTTATTATATTATTATGGTTTAAATTTGTGGTGGGTTTTTTTTTTTTTTTGACTGCTAATAATATGACTCTTCCTCCTTTAAAATAATTCTCAGTCTTTTAAAACTCGTGCCCAAATTTCATCTCTTCATTTCAGTAGGTTCAGCTTTTATTATAAAGTCCTTAGTTAGCCAAACAAAGACATAAAGTGTTTTATAAGTCAAACACTGAACTGAAATAAAGACAGTCAATTTAAAACATCAATAGAAAAAACTAAGTTTTGTTAACAACGCAGGCAGGTATAAAAAGAAACGCAGCAAATGGCTCTTTATACTCAGACGATGAAATGGAAGTCACAGTTATTTGTTCTGCTTTTCTTTTTGCTGTTTTTTATTTACCTTATAAGCAAGATGAATTGTAGTGAGATTTGAGTTCCCAAACTCCCAAAGATACATCTTACCAGAAGCCAACAGAGGGCTTCCAAAGAAAAGCTGTGTATGACATCAACTAGTATGACGCGGAAACAAAACAAAGATGGCTGCAGTGGTTTCAGCTGGAATACCTTCTTTCCAAAGTAAAATCACATTATTTTTGCCTCTGTGGATATTTGCATGTTCTCCCAACTGGATTTGGGAAGAGTTAGATTTATCAGTTAAAGGCCCTGTAAGTCCTTGACGATTTAGACCAGCGTATGACTGACGTACTAAAAATTTGGCAAAAATGCTGGCATATGTTGGATAAGTTATGGCTACGTTTTATATAAGTTATGAGCATGCTAAAGCATGATAGCACACATCGACATACCGCAATTAGGTCGAAAAATTTCCCGACATATGCCAGCGTATGCTCATACATGGGCCATAAGTTACATGTAAGTTATCTGATCATTGACATACGTTACTC